CAGTTTGTAGGACTTACTGGTATAAGTTTCAGGCTGACCCTGATTTATGGCCACCAGAAATATACCAGAAGTTCATTTGAAGGTACACAAGAGCAATCTGGGCAAATGGGGAGCAGTTATCAGGGGCTCAAGTGGGAAGAGAATGCTTTGAAAATGATGATGGCAGCATATGTACAAATGTGCTTGACACACTGGATGAATGTATGGATTGTGATAAGAGATGTAAGAGCCCTTGATAAAAGTATTTAATAATAATAAAAAAGATATATCTGGGCCTGAGAATTTTTGATAATTTGAAAAGGCAAAGGGGGCTTAGTTCCCCAAAGGGGAAAATTACCCTCTTTAAATATCAACAAGAGCTAAATAAATTCCTGAAATCATCAGAGCTTTTGAATAATACTTAGATGCTTTCAACTGGACCAGCTCTTCTTTTTGTAGTTTGAGGAACTTGTGGACTGGGTCAGTACTAACCCACGAGGCTGAGCCTGTGGTTGCTGGTGCTCAATGCAAAGGTAGTTGTCGACATGCATGAATGAATCCAGTTGAAAAATTACCCAGTTATATTAGCTGAGAAGTCAGACTCATTATGTAAATTTTGTTTAGGCTAAAAATATAAGGCTGTAAATATGTACATCTCTAAGATATTATTACAATATAAATATGTCAAATATAACACTTAATTTAAAAACAGAGAATTCTTCCTTACTTATTAGCATTCTTAAAAATGATATTTTTCTATCTTTACTTTCTCTTTTTTTATATTTTCCCCCCTAGACCTCCCGAACAAAAGTTGCTGACGTTTTACACTTCACACCTTAAGTGCATTAGCTTAAATTGCCTAGCATAAAGGGCATTCTATTAAATAGCCATACAACTTTTTATGTTTACTAAATATTTAATCTCTTCTCTGATATACAGTGCATATTCAGATTTCTCCAATTGCTCTAAGAATACTGTTTATCATAGTTTTGTTTCACTTTGTGGATTTGATCAAGGCTTTTTCATCCAGGATCCTAAGTTACCTTGTCATGCTTCTGTAGTCTCCTTTCTGTACCGTATGAGAGTCTCCCTGGGTATTTTCTTCTTTGCTGTTGCTTCTTGTGTTTTTTTTTGTTAAATTTCATTTCATGTTTGAAAGGTCTAGGCTAGTTGACTGGTAGAATATCCTACAATCTGGTTTCATTGGACTGTTTCCTTATGATTAGATTCAGGTCAGCATCATTAGCAAGAATACGCCACTCCTTTTCTGAAGCTGCTTGATGATGGTTTTTCCCATTATTGGTTGTGGTAATTATATAATCATTTGTCAATTTGAGAGGATTAAGAGTAAATGGAGTGGAATCTAGCTTGTCAATTAGGCCTTAGCCAATGAGGCCTCTGTATGGACATGGCCTTTTCCTGAGGATTCTGGCAACTCCGGTATTCCTCCTTGGAGGCGGGAGACACACTCTCTCTCTGCTCACTCCCTGCAACAAGATATTGTAGCTGACAAGACATATGGAGCTAAGCTCGTACCCTGAGCTGGAGAAGCCACGTGGAGACCCCTGGCAGCACTGAGATGCTTACTCCACCACTGGATCCACAAGACTTCCCACCCCACTGGCCTGTGTATTCGGCATCATTGCTGCATTCGGCATCATTGCATGTGTTTCTTGAGTCTAAAGAGGAATTTATAGATTGGTATCAGACATCTGGGTTAATATCGGACTTATGGACTTGATCTGGACTGAGCTGGGATGTTTTCTTAATGTACAATTACTCTATATACAGAGTCTATAACTTATATTATTTAATATATTGTAGCTCTTATACACATGAGTGTGTCTATGAATTTCTCTAACACATTTGTTATGCTAAGTGTGATCATGTAGTTAAGCTGGTATTTGCCAACTTAAAGGGAACCCAACCCCCTTGAGAATGAATAGTCTCTTGGCTGGCATAGTGGTTATGCTTTGGCCTATGGTATGCAAGGTCACTGGTTTGAAACCCACAGCTACTCCTCGGGAGAAAGAAAGAGCTTTCTACTCCCGTTAACAGTTACAGTCTTGGAAACTCACAGGGGGTCGTTCTACCCTGTCCTGTGGGGTTACTGTGAGTCGGCTTAGACTCTAGGGCAGTGAGTTTGAGAGCGATTCCCTGGAGTAATTCCTGGTGACCACGTGGCTGACATGCTCCGCACTTACTTCCCCCGTGATGTTAACACCCTTTGGTGTACTTTCATGAACCAGCTATGGTGGTGGTGGTCGTACTGGGGTGCTGACTGAATTTTTGAAGTCATTTTACCGAAGAAAACTCTTCCGCTTCTACCACCCCCCGACCTGCACCCAAATGAGGGCAAATGGAGTCCTTGTGGCTAGATGGCAGACGGTCATGAAAGCTGAGCTTCAAAACAACGCCCCTAACATACACTCATCATTTGCTGCTTGCTTCATGAACGCATCTCCAGAAAACTTCTACCCTCATGCCAGCGCTCTCTTTTGAAGATTCTTACGTAGATAAATCTTCCTGGAGACTGACTGGGAAATAAGCTGCCTGTTTTCTTTCCAGACTGAGACAGTTCAGTCCTACGGAGATTGAGATTTTCACTGACCAACTGCAGCCTGGAAAGAGCGTTGATCTGAGCCTTCCCATGGAAAGCAGTCCTTTACAAAGCATACTTTATTGGAATTGAATAAGCAGTAAAACCACAGACTTCCTTTGAAAGGTGGAATAAGTTGACAGAAATTGTCTAGTGGGGCACTCCTTGATCTAGACTAATAATACCTGTGGGAATTTATCCTAAGGCTTTTTGCACCCAACCTGCTCCCCACTGGCTCATTCAGTGAGCGTTATCTGATGAAGGTCTTATTTCACTGCATCTCAGAGCAGACCATAGTCGCAGTACTCGGAGGTACAGGGGCTCGCAGGAGAAGCTTAATTCTAGGCAATGCAATATAAAACCCACCCACCCATTTTGAAATTAGAGATGGTCTCGCCGGCCATATAAGCTCTCAAGTCATAGTGAAAGGACTTCCCCTTTATTAAGCATTGACTATTCCTCCCACGGAAGCAAACTGTCCTTAATATGGGGATAAGGACCTCTCTAGGAATTCATCCACAGTCTGCTCAATTTGTCTTTTAGCTACTATTCATATGGTCAAGTAGTCATGGAGCCACGAATCTTCACATTATATTTAAGTTTGGAAAAACTGACTTTTGCCTCTGTTTTGCCAGCATGTTATGGTTACATGCTCTCCCCTCTAATTAGGATCCTGCTGAGTAAGACACTGTTGTGGTCTGGAAATGTCTGCACTGTATTTGCAGCATCCTCTTCTAATTACAAGGCGCTCGGGTGGCGTAGTGGGTGTGTGCTGGGCCACGAACCATGTGGCTCAATCTTCCCAGCTCTCCCATGGGAGGAGGAGACGCTCTGCTCCTGGAAAAGATGTATCGCCTTGGAGACCCAAAGGGACCGTTCTGCGGTGCCTTATAGGGTCGCTATGAGTCAGTATCAACTCACTGGCATTGAGCTTGGTTTTGGGCTTGGGATTCCAATCCTAAGGAGCTCTGGTGCTGTCGTCAGTTACACATTGGACTACTGACCACATGGCTGACATTTGAAATCGACCATGCGTTCCGAGGGAGAATGATGAGACTTTCTGTTCTGGTAAAGATTTACAGCGTTGGAAATCCCAATGGGGCAGTTCGACGCTGTCCTGTAGGATAAGTCAGAATTGACTTGCTGGGAGGGAGTAGCAGTTGTATCCAATCCAGCATTGGGAGAGAGAGATTCACTCCATATTTGTTTGCTACATGCTCATACTGTGAGCATCACAGTGTATTATTGATTCTAGAGAGTGAACATTCATGCTAATACGGACTCATCAAGCAGGAGCTTGATAGGTTTCGGAGCTGAGAGCAGTTCTCTGAAAGAGAGTATTTTAATTTTTGACCATGAGGAAGAAAAAAATAGCCAAACTCACAGCCTGTGAGTCCACTGTAACTCACGGCTACTTGATCGAACAGGGCAGAATTGTCCCTGCGGGTGTCCAGGGCTAGAACTTTTTACAGAAGTAGAAAGCCTTGTCTTTCTTCTGTGGAGTGATTGAGGGTTTAGAACTGCTAACCTTGTGATTAGTAGCCCAATGTGTAACACACACCACCACCAGAGCTCCTGTGAGGAAGAGAACCCAAGAGTTATTGGCTGATTCAATTATAATATGGCTGGGATCTGGCAGTGATGATACTCTCATGAGAGGCTTACAATTATAGTTAAGCAGTCTCTTTCAGTGCCCACCTCTAATGTGTCCGTTCTTTTGATGTGCAGTGGACGTCTCCAGCTCCCAACCCGTCCCTTGCGTGGGGACAGAGGACCTTGTTACAACTTGGCACACAGCCAGTGACTTCAAGAGAATATTTGTCATTATAATGAATGAGGGAAAAACAAACTCACTGCCGTCAAGTTGATTCCGGCTCATAAGGACCCGAGAGAGCAGGGTAGAACCCCTGTAGGTTTCTGAGCAGTTTCTTTACAGGAGTAGAAAGCCTCTTCTTTCTCCTTCCAACCAGTTGGTGGTTTGAATTTCTGGCCCAAGCAACGTGCAACTCACTACATGACCGGGGTTCCTCAGGGAATGAAAAGGTTGCTGAAGTCTAAGGAGACTTCAAAAAAGTTTATGGAAAAATTCCATTTTCTACCAACTCTTCAAAGTAGTTCCTATTTTGAAACACATTGACTCACTTTCTGAGATGTAGCATAATACTTAACCATGGGTTCCCATCCGCCCCCAACCAGGCCCAGCCCTGTTCAGCTCTCTTATATTACTGCTGTATTGTAAAGGCTTGTAAAATATATTGCTTGAATCTTAGAGACAAGTTCACTAGAAGTATGTATGTGCATATGTATATATCCCCTTTCAATTAAGATGAAGAACAGGAAGAGGAAGACATAGCTAAGAAAATGTTTTATCGAAGAACAAAGCTATGGTGATCACAGAACTTGGTATATCAAAAGGTTAAAACTATGGCGACTCGTGCTCTAACTCGAGGGCTTCTTGAGGAAGAATTTTGTTTCGGAGAGAGAACCTTTTGTTCCGTGTCACCCGACTGCGGCTCCTGGCGGCCCTCTCAGGGTGCTCTCTCCCTACTAGGTAGGAGGAGACTCGCTGCCTTAGCCGGCGGAAGACCCAGCCGAAGTTTAGACAGCATGGCGCTTGTGAACTGGAAAGACTGCTTTCCTCTGGTTGACCTGATGAATTTGAGGAGGTTTCTATAGCCGAGGACTTTCGGCTATCAGTTGTGTGCTTTATCTATGAAGAAAGCAAATGATAAGCTACATGTAATGGGGCCCATCAGGGTGTCAAGTTTTACCCATTTATGGAACTTAAGGTCCACTTCACCAATTGTGAGTGCAAAGTTTGGATTTGCATTCGTACTTGAAAATGTACGTGCTTAGGTGGTTGGGGTGGGGGTGGGGGTATAATTGGAAGAGTTGGTCAGAATTGTCCGCCTGCTTGTTCATTGCTTTCCTCCCCACTTCTCTTACTCAGGGCTCCTCTTTCCCCCGGAGCTGCAGTTCCTTGCCATTTTCTTTCTACCATTTCTAGCAGTGTCAAAGACTTAGGGGCCTGCCCCTGCTTCATATTAAGTCAAGATGCTCCGTGGGTTCCCACCTGCCCCCAAACCGGGCCTCTACCTGCTCACCTCCAGGAGTGCAGGTTCCTGCAGCCTTTGCCGACTCGGTGGAAACTGGGTGACGTCTTCCTGTCCCCGTGGTCGGAAATTGGGCGAGTCTTGACCAGGCCTGTGATTCTGATCACTGACCCGAGCCGTCTCTGGTGGGGAGCTGCTAGGGAGCTGCAGATCTCCCTTCTGAGTAGATTCCTGGAAAACAGAGACACTGTCCTCGTCTTCCTGCGTTTCTATAAAACGCTCAAACTTTTATATAAGACTGTCCAGTTTGCCGAGGGTCAGTTCTGAACCTTTGTCCATCTCCCTGTTGTCTATCTTTAGATTCCGGTTAACTGTTGAGTCTGAATTGCTAGAGGCCCCATCTGTGTCCCAGCCCAGGGCAATGCTTACTTTGTAAAGCTGCTCTGGGTCATTCTGAATCCAACCTCGCTGCCCCAGGGCTCTCAATGCGCGTGTAGTACCCCACATCCCTTGGATTAGAGGGCGGAAGGGAACTTTAGGACTCGTAGAGGGCCTGTCTTCTTGGGGAGTTATGTTTTCATAGATGTCGTCACTGGGGAAGTAGCCCACGGAGGCACTCAGGTCGGACACAGAGTTGCTGTTCGAGGAGTCCGCCATGGAGTTCAAGGGCCCAGATCTTACAGCCTAGTTCTCCTTCACCTGAAGGGGCTTCAAAAGGAGAAGGGGAAAAAGTCAGATGGAGGAGAAGAAAAGGAAAGCCGTGCTTCCCGAGCAGTAACACCTGTTCCTTTTTCTCTTGGGCTAGAGCAGCAGTTCTCAACCCGTGGGCTGCGGCCCCTTTGAAGGTCGAACGACCCTTTCACAGGGGTCGCCTAAGACCATCGGAAAACACATTTCTGATGGTCTTAGGAACCGAGTGACCGCTTCTCTATCTGTCTCCAGGCGGGTCTGCCCACATGCAGATGTGCCCACATGCGAGTACCCGGCGTGAAGACTGTTACCCATGCTACACCATGCTTCAAGAACAAATTTCATTTATTTGTCATTAGAAATAAAACTTTCACAATATATAATGAAAATACATCCTGCCTATCAGATATTTACATGACAGTTCATAACAGCAGCAAAATGACAGTGATGAAGTGGCAACGAAAATAATTTTATGATTGGGGAGTCACCACCACATGAGGAACTGTATGAAAGGGTCGTGGCATGAGGAAAGCTGAGAACCACTGGGCTAGAGCATCCTCCTATATTCGCAATTTTCAATGAAGGGCCAGCCAGCCAGCCATCTCCTTAAAAAAAAAATGTCATGTTCTTGTACAGCTCTAAGAGTTCTCTCTGCTCAGCATGGCTGCCTGGCGCCTCTTCTCAGTCTTCCTGCAGCGGATGGTTCTATCCTAAAAGAAACGATCCTCGATGAAATTCAGAACTAGAAGGTAGTTTTACGTAAAATTTACAGATAAATAGGTTGAGATCTTACCGTCTGGAGATAAGGATAACCACTATTAAAACATTTTGGTGGGTTTCCTTATATTTTACACACACACACACACACACACACGTTAGGGGGCTTCAAAAAAGTTTGGAGAAATTCCATTATCTTTTTTATAATCATTTCATTGGGGGCTCTTACAACACTTATCACAATCCATACATCTATCCATTGTGTCAAGCACATTTGTACATTCGTTGCCCTCATCATTCTCAAAACATTTGCTGTCCACTTGAGCCTTGGTATCAGCTCCTCATTCCCCCCCCACCCCATTCACCCTTGATAATTTATAAATCATTATTTCGTCCTGTCTTACACTGTCCGATGTCTCCCTTCACCACTTTTCTGGTGTCTGCCCCCCAGGGAGGGGTTCTGTGTAGACCCTTTTGCAGCCTCCTGTATATGTAGGCGCCCGGGTCACGGTCATTGTTGAGATGGAGATGATTTTGTGGTGCTGGCATGCCGTACACCTGAGTATGGCGAAAATAACTACAACCTCCCCCTCCCCCCATATATATATGGCTAGCCTGTCACTTTTAACCACATTCTTACTAATGCCCATTCAGTTGTCCTTTTAATGAATAGCTCTGCCACGAGCCTTCTTGTCCATAAATCATTCTATTCCTCTGACGTGGGATCAGAGCTCACAAACCGAATAAAGGCTGCCAGTCGTTGATACCTGATTACTTTCAGGAGATGTTACAGCTATTGGGCCTGTCCTCTCTCCATCTGACGAGTCTCTTAAGTCCAACCTGTTCTGTGATGCTCTAGCGAGGGGAGGTGGAAGAGCCAACACACGTACACATACAAACATACAGATATTTGGGGCTCTGTCATACCCTGCTCAGGTGGCTGCCCATGTGATGAGATTGATACTGCCAGCTCAGGAGCCTCAGAGTCCAAGGCTCAGTGGCTCTCAGCCCAACTGCCAGAAGCCTGTATTCTGAGGCTGTTGGTTACCATAGCAACATGAGCACCCAAGTTATAAGCAGAAGTGAGGACCAAGAGAGAAGGGGAGTAGCAAAATCACAGGGTCCCGATGCCTTCACAGTCTTCTATACCCATAGCTTCCCGGGCGAAAGAACAAATGAAATGCAACAGTGCTTACTTCCCTGCTGCTGTGTGTGTGTCTGAGATGGCTCCTGTCCTACGAGAGTTTGAGAGCCTTTTTAGAGAGATGGGCAACATCAACAGCCTTTTGTAGGACAGGGTGTGTCAGTACAATGGCAGCACTAAATAACAGACTCTACAGGATGCGAGAGGGGGGGGGGGGCGCAATGGATGCAGCCAGGCTTGGGATTGAGATTGGGATGTGGGTCTGGAGAAAGGCCTCCTCGAGGGGACTTCTGACCAGAGTGTTTATGGACTAGTAGAAGTTAGGGGAAGACGGGAGTGGGGAAGAGGGGATCTTTCAGACTGCCGAGGGGCTGTGTATGTGTGTATGTGTGTGCATGTGTGTGTCCAGAGCAAGGCCATCCAAGTGAGAAACAGGTTGGTGTGGGAAGATCAAGCCCGAGGCCCACGATGACATGAGTTCAGTGAGCTCATGGCAGACCTGTCTCTATTAAGGAGAGTAGATTTTATCCTGTACACCAGCGTGATAGTTTGGGGGCACTCCTGTATTTGGGTGATGATACTCATTTCTCAGACTTTGTTCCAGGCAATTCAAAATACACGAAGGGTTTCAAAAAGTTCATGGAAAAAAAATCCATGATCTCCCCGCCCCCCAACATTTATTTATTGTAACCACTAATTGATATATGCTTCGTGTTACTATACAACTCCATAGCTTAAATAAATTGAAAGCAGAATGCAATCACCACCACAATTGATTGTATATAATTTTCTTCATTCATGTAACCATTGTTATTAGCTTGCCATTTCTCAATAACCTCCCCAATCGTAACTATTAATCATTACTGTCTATAGCTTTACCTACCCTGGATTTTGTATAAAAAAAATCATAGCAAAAAAATGCTATCAGCAGTAACAATATAAAACAGATAAATTTCAAAGAAAGAAGAAAATAAAAACTAGAACAAGTTGAAAAAAATGGTAAGATTAAAATATAAGCTAACTACATCTATAGTAATCCATTTTCCAGTGCATTCTATGTGAGGACAAAACTCCTCACAAATCCGGCCAATGACCTGAGGGAGTTCAATGTGGACGTAATCTACTTGGGGACCCTACTCGTGTGGTTTATTTGGCTTTCTTTTTTTTTTTTTTTTTAAATTTTTTAAAGTATTTTATTGGGGGCTCATACAGCTCTTACCACAATCCATCCATCCATTGTGTCAAGCACATTTGTACATATGTTGCCATCATTTTCAAAACATTTTCTTTCTACTTGAGCCTTTCCCCCCTCCCCCCACCCTCCCTCCTGTGTTTTAGGCTTTCACTGCCATCCATAACCTTCTGCAAACTGTACTCAGGAATAATGCCATTTATTCCACTTTCCCATGAATTTCTTTTTTTTTTTTCTATGAGTCTTTTGGAGCCTTCTTGTATAGTGTTATTTCTGGCTTCACACCTAAAACATTGAAAAGTCACAACATATTATTTTTAAAATGTTAAGATTTGTTATAGGCGATCTTACAAAAAAGTAAACTAAAAAAGGGCCCTGGTGGCACTGTGGGTTAGGTGTTGGGCTTGTAACGGGAAGGTTGTTGGTTGAAATCCACCAGCAGCTCCACACAAGGAAGATGAGGCTGTCTGCTCCCACGAAGAGCTAAAGTACCGGAAACTCTTACGTGGACAGTGACACTGAAACAATCCAGGGAGGATTGCCAAAGCAGATGCCTACACTTTATCCTAGGTTATACGCTAGAGTTTAAAAAAGAGAAAAAGTTTTTAATTGCCAGAGGGGAACTGAATAATTTTATTCCGAAAAGGGGCGAGGGGCCAAATAAGTTTGGGCCAAATAAGTAGGATCATTATGAGTTGGATTTGACTTGATAGCAGTAGGTTTTTGGTTTTACTTACATAGCAATACAAGAAAAGATACAGAACGAACCACTTCATATTGTTTAGATCAATAAGTAAGTTGATCAAAGAAAGGTTGATCAAGTCTTAATTAACACAAGTGATATTAGTAAGGAGGAGCCAAAATGCTCATCTGCCCTTAGAGGGACAATTGTCTTTTAGAATGAGCCGCACTCCTCAGCGTGCTCTCTGGAGAGGGATGCCCGTGAATAAAACAGAGTAGGAACCAAAACGACTCAGGAAGTGTTGGACAGTAACAAGTTAAAAGGATGTATAAAACTGTAGCCAATGAGATCAGAATACCTATATGTTTTTATAACTTCAAATCTGAAATTTTTGCTTTTTAATTCTTTTTTTTTTTTTTCAAGAAATAAACTGTTCTGGATCAAATGGACGCCCTATTGTATTTCTTCCTTATCTCCCCACTTTGCACCACCTCTCCCCCAAGACCACTACCTTGAATTTCATATGGGGAGATAAAGAAGAAATACAGTAGGGCTTGAATACTGTTTTACATATTGTCATATTGTTTTTACGTTTGGGGACAAAAAGCACTGTAAATGGAATCATACAATACTAAAAGTTCTACTCTTCAGAAGTGAGACAGTCCTGTTATGACAAGTTTGTTTTGTTTCATAAAAGTAATTATGACAAAGACATCCTCTTCTAAGCCAAACACATGGCTGAAATATTTAGTGTTTATTTTGGATGTTGGGTGTGTGGGGGGGCGCAATTTCCTATACTCTTGTTAATATGCTTATTTTGAAATAGACAAAACCTTCTCTAAGCTCTTACCAAAATCAAAACAAGTAAACAAACAAACAAAAACCCCTCACTGGCATAGAGTCAGTTTTGACTATATGCTTATTTTGAAATAGACAAAACCTTCTCTAAGCTCTTACCAAAATCAAAACAAGTAAACAAACAAACAAAAACCCCTCACTGGCATAGAGTCAGTTTTGACTCACAGCGACTTGGAGGACAGGGTCGAAGCACCCCTCTGGGTGTCCGAGGTGGTGAATCTTTATGGGAGGAAAAGGCTCATCTTTCTCCCTCGGAGAGGGTGGTGAGTTCTAACTGCCGACCTTGTTAGAGCCTAGCTTGTAACCCACTGTGCTGTCAGGTCTCCTGATCTCAGTGTACGGGTGTACTTAAGAGGTTTACGAGAATTAAAAGA